TAACAGAAAATGTGTTTGGATTTTGAGAAAAATGATGCTTTGATTCAAACTGAGGATTTTGACTTGTAATAACTGAAATTGAGCCTGACACATTATCTTATTATTGATTTGCGGAGTATATGGGTGGTTTGACCATTGTCTAAGTGTAATAATTTTTTGAGAAAAAAATATTTTGTCCTTGTGTAGATACCAGAAGAAGACTGCAAAAATGGTCCAAGAATTTGGTGCTTCTGCCAATGAGGTATTTGATATAAACTTTCTATGTAGTTTTCATCCTGCATTTCTTTTCTGTTTCTAACAATAGGTTGAAAGGTTTCTCACTATTTATTTCATAGGTGGCTCAAGAGACATTATCCTTAATGAGAACTGTTCGTGTTTATGGAACAGAGAAGCAAGAAATGAAAAGGTTAACTATTCTACTATTTTTTTAGTCTGAATGTTATTGCTTGTTGATCTTTTCCTTTGATAGATAACGACAAAGATTTGATATGTTTATGATTAACAGGTACAATCGTTTTCTGGACAAACTGGCTGAGATAAGCTTGCGACAAAGTGCTGCCAATGGAATTTGGAATCTAACCTTCAACACTCTATACCATGCAACTCAGGTTTGCAACCCATGGCTCTGTCCTTGCTAACAAGGAAGTATAATTTTGTAAATGAAATAAAATAGTATCTACTCCTTTGATTATTGAATTCTCCTCTTTTTTTCCTCCTTTCTATATAGGTTATTGCCGTGCTGGTTGGAGGGATGTATATTCTTGCAGGTCATATAACAGCAGAGAAACTTACAAAGTTTGTACTATACAGTGAATGGCTAATCTATTCAACATGGTGGGTTGGGGATAATGTATCATCATTGATGCAATCTGTTGGAGCAAGTGAAAAGGTCTTCCAATTGATGGATCTTATGCCTAGTGATCAATTCACATCCAAAGGCAAGCATTTTATTTGCTTTGATAGACAGTAAAGCATGTAGTTACGTGGTTGAATATATTATTTCCCTTGATATATCTTACTTGGATCAGAGATTAAGGGATGTGTTGTTGCTACATAGTAGTAACATATGTTCATTATTTTGGCATATGATACTTTAAATACATTTTGATTCACACAAGTTTTAGATAGAAGGTTTGAAATGATTCCGAAGCATGTTACTTTTTAGTGGGCGACAGATATGTTTCTAGAAAGAGCAGTTATTATTGTTCTACATCATTCTTTCTCTCTATCAAAATAATAGATAATCTTAGTCTAGGGTGTGAGAAACATCGTTTTACTCATTCATTAAATATTACTTTTGTCAGAAATTATCTTCAATGGCTGATATTATCATTCATTTAACTTGTATTACTTTGAATTTTTCTCAATTATAGGAATGACACTGCAAAAGCTGCTGGGGTGTATAGAATTTGTAAATGTATCTTTTCAATACCCTTCAAGATCAATGGTATGTTGTCCTTAGTGCCACAAGTACTTAAAGGAACACCTTTCGTTTGATAGTATTGGCATTTCTATTATTTTAGTGCAGTACAAATGGTGGTGGAACTTTCTTCTTCTAGTTTTTTTCCTTTTAAGAGAAAAACTATTCTCCTTCAAGTTCCCCCTTTTGCTCCTTTGATTCCACAAAATAAATATAAATATAGAGAAATTTCTGTTTGTTACATTTTTTCCCCTCTTACATAATTGCACACCACTTCCAAGTCACGGAATCCTGTCAAACTGAAACCCACAAAACAACCAACACCTAAGGGCCACATTCTCTTGTTTAAGAACAATTTAAAAGGAGATGATGTACTGTTTCAGGCTTTCAGTTGCATTCTTTCTTAGAAAGCTTCAATGTGGAAGAATTTTTCCCTTCCTTCCTAGATTACAATAATTAAAGCTCTTTCTTAAGATGCTTTACAAACAAGGAATGCTACTTTTTGGCTTTTGTCTCCCGGACTATTCTCCATAGAAGTTTTAGACAGCCTTCTCTCTTTTTCTTCTTCTTCTTGAGAACCCAGTTGAGAAACCATATAAAAGTGGAAAATGTGAAAATTGAAAATAGCAACTTTTCCTAGTAAGGCTTTTACAGCTCTGCAGCTTTTTTCTTTCTGCTGTAAATTTTATCTTGGTACATCCCTTATATGGATTGCCTGATAATTGAGACTTTTAATCTAATTGTTGTCTCCTAATATCCCAAGACCCTATACTTAAATTTTTGGTGCATGGATCTCTCTATCTTTGTAAAAGTGTTACTATATCTACATGGAAACAACTAATAGTGCAGATAATTTCAACAGGTACCTGTCCTGCAGCATATAAATTTATCGGTTCATCCTGGTGAAGTTGTTGCACTAGTGAGTTTTTCTTGGCACTTGCAAACTTCCATTACTTCCTCGCTGATTAGGTGAATAATTTGATATGGCTTTTTCTTGAATAGGTTGGTCTCAGTGGTAGTGGGAAAAGCACGATGGTGAATCTTTTGCTTCGTCTCTATGAACCAACAAATGGTCAGGTAGAAATGTTCTGATCATTCTATTCGATTATCTTTGAGCAGTTGGTGTTTGATATATGCTTCTTAAAAATTTGATCTTTAGTGGGGTAATTGAACACTTTCCTTTTGGGGAGTCTAACAGCATAGTGTTCTGTAGCTATTAATTTTGTATGCTCTGCTTACATCTCAGCAATTTTGTTGCCCATACCTGTAATTTGAATCTTATGTTAGATTTGTACTTCTTTTTGCAGATTTTAATTGATGGTGTCCCTCTCAACGAACTGGACATCAAGTGGTTGAGGGGGAAAATAGGATATGTGGGACAGGTACTCCATTCAGTTCGAGCTTTGAATTTCATTAAATTTTGGTGGATCTTTCGTCATTAATATATTCATTCTGTACAGGAACCAAAACTTTTCCGCATGGACATCAGTTCAAACATTAAATACGGATGTACCAGAAACATAAAGCAAGAGGATGTTGAATGGGCTGCCAAGCAGGCATATGCCCATGACTTCATCACATTACTTCCCGATGGGTATAACACACTTGTCGATGATGACCTGCTCAGTGGGGGACAAAAGCAGAGAATCGCCATTGCTCGAGCCATTCTTAGAGACCCTAGAATTCTCATCCTTGATGAAGCAACCAGTGCACTGGATGCAGAGAGTGAACACAATGTTAAGGTAGCCATTGTTATTAATACCAACACCAATGTTTATATTACCTTTTCTCATTAGGAGGTTGAGCGTGGAACTTGGAGAGCCACTTGTTTCTGACCCTCAGTGTTTAACATGCCACTTTATCCAGGGCGTTCTTCGTTCCGTCAGAAGTGATTTGTCATCCAGAAGAACCGTCGTAGTAATTGCACACCGGTAAGCTTTCAGGTGCTATCTTTTTTTTTTCAAGGCTCAGCAGTGAGTATAAAAATCTTCTCATGCTCGATCTGCAGACTTTCTACGATTCAAGCTGCTGACAGAATCGTGGTGATGGATCGTGGTCAAATTGTCGAGGTTGGCTCTTTTCTTGAACACTTAACATTATTTTCTTCCGTATCTAATGTGCATTTTCTGTTGGAAAGCATTATGCTTGCGTCGAGAATTGTTGTTCATAGACATAATTGTCATCCAAACTTGCAGATGGGCAGTCATAATGAGCTTCTTCAGAAAGACGGTCTATATGCTCGGTTGACAAAAAGACAAACCAATGCTGTAATATGATTGTCATGTAAATCGGTGTATCGTAATTAATCTCAGTTCAAGTATCCTTCGATTTTTATCTCGACCGATATCGCATCAGATATCGGAGCAGCTTTCCACGACTAACCAATGTGTATAATCATCCAACGAGAATTCATTGCCTCTTGGAACCAGGAGAGGATTACCAACAAAACAAAGGCATCACTAAGTGGTTTTCTTTATGCTACCTCAGCCACCAACCTGCTGGCGGTTTGAACGGTATGTGAACCGATCCGAGTTTTAATTTTTTATTAAGCAAAACTGTACTATGAAGACGTGAGTTTTGAGATGGAATTATAGTAAAGATTCAAGAAAGAAAGGGTAGTGTCAGTTAGATGTAGAATGTACTGATAAGCGCACCATAGTTGACCCATCAACACCATGCTTATACAATTATAATGATATAAGCCATGAAATTTCGATGATAAATTCTTCTCACGATTCAGAATTTATGAACATTTCTTGAGCTCCTTTAGACATTGTTTATAATATTATTCACTTATTCAACCATTCTAAGTTTGTTTAAAATTAAAATATTTACATATATATATATCCGTTTTATGGTCCATATATGGGGTTTGTTACTCTTTTCAAGTAGATGCATTTGCAGAGTCAATCTCTTATTGTCGCAGATTAAAAAAATTCTGAACATACATTATATTATAATCGCTTCATACTATTAAAAAGAGTGGAATGTGTCTCCCTACTTACCTTGTAGGCTTATATAATCATAATAGCTATGAACTTATGATATGAATAGAGGCTACCAACAAAATTAAGTGTAATGGTATATTATCATATTTCTAGTATATATACGCTAAAATCAGAAATGTGATATTTATTATATATAAATATACTTTTATATATATCCAAATTATATTAATGTATAAAGTATAAATATTTTCTTCATAATAGTAAAATGAAAAACTATTGGTAAAATACTGGGATGAGGTATCGTGAAGCAATTCCAAATTACCTTTGTGGGCTTGTAGACTAGCTGACTAATATGCAAGCAGTACCTGGTAGGAGTGTTCAAACTTTGGTTAAATTGATTTAATCGATCGAACTGATATTTTTTATTAGATCAATCAATTAATTTTAGGTTCAATTGGTTAACGATTAATGATTTTTTTCAAAACTTTGATTATATGTTAGTTTGATTCAAAATCGATTGATTAATCAAATTGGCTGAAATTATTAAATATTTAAATATAATATATATTATTTATATATTACTTAGCCTTAAAAGTGTTTTCTTTAATAGAAAAAGGACTAAATCCAATACGTTAATGTTTCATACGGGAATAAGGAGGACCGTTAGTATCTTTATGAAAAATAGCTAATAAATTAGTTGGAAAAGAATAAAAAATAAAGCAGGAGCCATCCGTGGGAGCAGGCATCTTAGCGATGTAATCAGATGCAACATTCGCTTCGTGAAGGATATTTTGGAACTCTATGCACCAAGGCTTAGAATAGGGAGAGACAATGGAGCGGACCAAGGCAAAGGGGCTGTCGGTGGAAGGGGGAAGTAGTTGGAGAGCTTCACTACTACCGATTTGAACAATAATCTTTTCAAAGTCGTTTTGCCAAACAACTTGGAGACCTTCGAGGACGCCCCAAAGCTCCGCTTCCAGGACCGTAGTATGACCAAGGAATCTGCAGAAGGCCGCCAAGCAATTGCCACTTGAATTTCGAATGAGACCACTTGTTGATCTAAGGTTTGTCGAGCAGGAAAGGCACCATCGGTGTTGAGACACAATTCTCATAATCATTTTCTTGAAAAAAATAATTATGACTTTTATTTTAAAAAAATTAGTCTTAATTTGAATTAAATTGAAAAGAAGTCGCCATCGATCTTTGGGTTAGGTAGGTCGAATACCTAAAAATGTCTTTTAAAAATAATTTTAAGAAAAATCGTTTTTAAGACAAAAATGACATGCATTTACTAAAGATTCGATTAAATAGATTCGAAAGTCTGTTACACGTTATCGTAAATGGTGAAAACTATAAAAACTATTTAATTCTGGATATAAAATTTTCTTATGACTCGACTGTTGACCCGACCTAATCAACATTCACGAGAATGTATGCCACTAAAACAAAGGGACCCCCACCATAAGATTATTGGGAGGGGTCATAATCTAATCTCATGATTTTTTTAATAAAATATAAATATTATTGTCCTCAATCTAGATTTTATTAATATTTAATTATAATATAATAAATTAAATATCAATATATAATATATTGACAGTCTGTATAATTCAATATATATCATCAATAAATCAGATAATAATATCTTTTTATAAATTTTTAAGATTAGATTTATTCTAATAATTATTTAGGATAAATTATGTGTTTAATATCTAAATTTTTAATTTTTCCCAAAATCATACATAACGTTTAGTTTTTGTTTCATTTCACCATATGCTGTTAAAACCTTAACGGACGGGCTCGTCGGCCATCGCATTTACGGTCATCGATCGTCGCATCCGTCGACCCATGAAGCCCACACTTTTTGGCTCGCACCTTTTCTGTCCCCTGAACGTGATTTCGACCTTTGTTTCACCGAAAAATGTCTCAATCTCCTCAAATAGATGAAAAACTCTTCGATTTTTTCATCCTCCAATCTCCATCGTCAACCGTCTAATGGGCATGAAACTAGACTATGTTGGTCAACTTGTCATTCTCTCATGGTCCACCGTTCAAATTGGTTGTCTGTCCGTCGGAGCTATGCCCCGTCAGCCAGTCCATTAAGTTTTTAACGGTGAGGTATTAAAATGAAACAAAAATTACAAGTTAGGTATGTTTTTTTATTTTTTTTTGAAAGTTTAGATACTAAAACGAATCAAAATTGATAGTATAGGTACTAAAGTACAAAATTTACCCAATTATTTAATGTTAATACTAAATGAAATTAGGATAACATTACTTGAAGCATTAAAAGAATATATAAATGTTGGTGGAGGGTAAATGGATTTGAATAGAAATCTGATGATCACAGCAGTGGAAAGACACTTGTAGCCATATCCAATTGCTATCTCTTTTGTCAATTATCCTCTTTTTTCTCCAATTCAAAGCTACCTACCCCATCATCATCATCTGTTTCAAAGATCATTCAAGAACTCTTCCAAGTTCCATCTTCACTTTATACAAATAGTGTGTAATTTTCATGTTGATGCTAATCACTGAAACTTGGCAGGAGAAAGACTGGTAGAATGGACGGTGGGCAGATGTCAAGGACAGATCTGAAGGTGGAGGTTCCATCGGAGAATGAAACCGTGGAGGCTCATGCGGCACCGGCACAGCCGAGTGTGACTAGGACCAGTTGCTTGTGCTCTCCGACCAAGCATCCCGGTTCGTTCCGATGCAGGCTTCATCGAGCACCGAGCCTCAAGCGGACCAAAAGCATCGACTCTCACTCCACGTCTAAGCAAGTTTCTCCCACTGCTGAATGATCGATCGAGTAGTTCAGATGTATGAAACCTTAATAATTGCCTTTGTGTGTGTGTATATATATATATATTGTATCATATGTTTTATTGATTAGCTTGTTGCTGGGCAAGACTTGGCTATGGTATCAAATTTCTGGGTTTTCTTGCTGAGTTTTTCCATTCGTCAATGATCTGTTCACGCAAAGCTTGTGACATGTATGAACTTGATTCTAGGATTCATCAAACTGATACACGAACAGCTATAGTAAACACTAAACATATTTAGCAGTAAATGGCACTGAAATTCACCGCAGAATTTGATAAGCCTGGTCAATGAAAAATTACTGGAAATCAGTAGATGAAATGCTAATTGGAAGAAGAAAAGAAAGTGTTATTATTGTTGAGGATGAGACAGCAGGGACATCTGAATCAGCATGCAACTAATTTCAAATTAAAATTAGTCAAAAAGACCAAATTGAGTAAAAGCAAAGTGAAGGGTCTGAGTACATTTTTAGTGAAAAACATAAGAATTGAAGTTACATAGGAATTCTATTATGGTATATGAGTATGTGATTCAATTTTTTTTTATAAAAAATAGTCTTAAAATAAAAAATGAATTGAATAAATGAGAAAATTATGTAAAATTCAAGGATTAAACTGAAATAAAAAACTTGTTATCAAATAGAGGAATTGAAAGTGTATATGTATTCTACGATAACTTAGAAACATGTGGTTCAAATTTAGTAAAAAATAAAAATAAAATGAAGGAGAAATTGAAAGAATAATGAAATTAATGACTAAATTGTAAAATTATCAAAATACTTAGTCAAATTTTTAATTTTTTCGAGTAATTCAAAAATTTTAAATTTCAACTCGATTTAAACTCGAAAATCGAATCGATAATTCAATTTGACTCGAACAACTTATATAACTCGACTTAAATAATCTAAAACCAAATAAAAATTTAATTTTTCGAATCGAGTCAAATTTTATCCATCCTAATATAAATAACAAAGCCGAGGGAATCATTTCTCGGAGATTTGCCGTTATGCAGGACAAGATTTCAAGTCGAGTCAAATTTTAACCATCCTAATATAAATAACTCAGTTCTTTTCACTGCCACTTCTATTGTTTGGCAACAACTTACTGAACATTTTTTTAGGCCCCGTAGGCAAAGCACAGAAGGCCTTGAGCTTAGAATGTCTTCCCATTCCATCTGTATTCGTATCGAGTTCGTCCGAATCGTCGCCTTCGGCGAGCTTCATCCTTAGTGTCGAAGTTCTCGACTTGGGGGACTTGAGACCCGAAACGCTCCATTGATCGTCGGCTCGAATGCTGGTACTAGTGCTTAATGTTTCTGGAGGCCTTGATGGATCAATGTTATGGGCAGCTAAAAGTACCTTGATGTTGGTAGGGAGATCGGCCACTTTTCCCGCCCCGGCCGTGGCGACTCGAGTTTGCTCGAAGAAGAGAACTTGTATCACTACTCTTAGAGGCAGTTTTTCGTTTTGAGCGGCGTGCATGCAGGCCTCGACCGAGAGTTTTTTGCAGTCGAGGACGCGGCACAGCTTTTTCCTTTCGCTCTTGGTTAGATCCGGGTGTGCCTGTGTATACCAAAGACACCTATAATAAGAACTTGTGTGTAGAGAACATGAAAGAACACTATTATGTAATAGTTGGTTACCTTTAGATAAATGTCAATAGCTCGGTAATGATCATCGTGGTCGAGCCGTGAGAAATCGGGGATTGTCTCGGCGATTGCGATGAATTTCGATAGTGGTAAGTTACTATCTCTAGCAATTTCTTGAAGATAGCCATCCATGAGTTTGGCTACTTTGAGTTTGGAACTGTGTGATGCTGAAGAAGACCTCCTACTTTCTTGAAACTCGAAACTGATATTCTCGGCCGAACGTGACCTTCTTCTCCTTTCGAGACGGAGCTTCGATCTAGGAGGGCTAGTAGGAGGACTCTGTCCTTGTAACATGAATTGTTCCAAAATGGTGAGGACAATATCTACATCGTAACCGGAACCGGTATAGCTTGAGTCCGATAGAGAGGGTATTAACAGATCAGTGACTCTTGCTTCCTCCAACTGAAGTGCCACTCTTCTAGCCAATTCCATCTTCGAATTCGATGAAGCATTAAGAACATTGGCAGCTTTCAAGAGCTTAAGTAGAAAACTGCAAGAGACAGCGCCTTTCTCCGATGGGAGTAAACTCACAATCGTTTTCAACAGCAGCCCGTGCTTCGAAGAAGCGTCGTCGTCCGAGTCTGAATCCGTTGTTTGTCCTCGGTTAGCCTTAACTTTCCGAGACACATTCGGCAGCCATCGAGATGCATACATTTGCAATGCCTCCCCTATGAGATTAGAGGGTACTTTCCCACAGGATTTAATAGCAATCATGGTTCTCCAATAAAGGTCTATCCCCAACTCAGCCATGTCCTCTGCCCACCAACTTTTGGCCATCGGTTTATGCCGCCGGCTCTCGGTTCCGTTACACGACATATCGCTAACCCTTCTCGAATGACTATGTAACCCCCTAGACCCAGCCTATGCGTTTCGACTAAGTCTAGTGGATCACATTATGATTATTAAAGACATTTTTCGAAACCGTTATTCCATCAATATAAAATCACATTATAAATAACATGAAATTATAAACAAATTATACTATCAAAATCCAACTCGTAAATATAGTACCAATAAATAATAATTTAATTTAAAACACATCTTCAAATTCAATATCACAATAAACCGAGCAGTATTAGCAAAAGAGTTATCATTATAAAATCCGATATTTTAAAATAAGGTCCATGTCACCAAAATAAAGTCAACTTGCCAGATAACAACATTACAATTTGATTTACTTCAAGAGATATGTTGATCCTCCAAGTGCTCGTACCAAGGTATCTAACCAACAATATCTGAAAGGGGAAAACATTTTCAAAAGGTGAGCTAGGCTCAGTGTGTCCCAACATTTCCATAAAATCACAATAGGTACAAATCATAGTCCAGTAATCTCACAAATTCATAAAAGAGTTTAACTTTTTGAAAATCATAGTTTAAACCCTTTTCTGGTACACCATCAGTAGTTGCCAAAATTATTTTCCATATAGCTTACTTTATGCACATAGCAAAAAGAAAGCCGACTTAAGGATAGGCTCTGAAGCTTGTATCCTTAAGCCCAAGTCAATGAGTCCATATAGCTTACCCTAAGCACACAGCAAAGGAAAGCCGACCTAATGAAACATCTTGGGGCCCTCAAGAGTCACATTAGGCCCAGTTAGCTTGATCAGAGCTATTCCATCGTATTTCAATTCCAAAATTCAATTGCACCGTGACATAAATTCCATCAATCCAAAAACATGGTAATCATATACCATTTCAAAACAAAAATTAGATAGCAGCCATATTCCATAAATTGTCACATTAAATTGGTGCATCCATAAAACAATAGCCAATGAATTCGGTGTACCACATATTAAAACCAATAAAACAGTTCAATAATAAGCAGGGAACACACCTCGACAATAGGTTCAAATAGCAAATTTACTGATTGCTGGTTTCACCACGCTCTGCTACAATTTTCGAACGGGTGAATACTGGCACACGTGGTTTAACTGATCTAGAAGAGCTGGGTCGAGCTGTCGAACGATCCAGAGAGTCTCTTGTACCATCAAACAATAATAATCTATCAGTCCCAAATCCTATTTAATTGTTCAAAGCTAGTCTTCTTAAGTATATAAGCATTTTTCGAGTTTGACTATCAATTTGGGGTATTTCGAGTCTGAATTTGGCCAAACGGATTGCGGAAACGGAATCAGAACGTCGAAAAATATAAAGTATGACTTTTCGGAAATTCAGATTCTTGGTCAAAGTCAAAGTCAACCACTTTGACCGTAGATTTGGAGATCTTCGGGTTTGAATTTGGCGAAACGGACTGCGGAAATAGATTTGGCACGTCGAAAACTATCAGGATAGGTATACTCGGAAAAGATTTACGGTCGTTTAAGGGTCGGTCAAAGCCATTTTAAGTTTTAGTCAAAGAAAGTCAACGGTCACGGTCACGGTCAACGGTCAACGGTCGGTCGGGTCAACAGTCGGGTCGGGTCAACAGTCGGGTCGGGTCAACCCGGTTCAGACGGTCAAACCGGTTCAGACCGGTCAAACCGGTTCGAACCGGTCAAACCGGTTCAAAACTGGTCAAAACCGGTTTTCCAGCAGCTCACTCTCCCTGCGGCGGCGCGTGCGGTGCGTGAACAGTGCCACGGTGTCGGAAAATTCCCGGAAAAATTTCTAAAAATTATTTTGAGCGATTTCGAGATACTTACAACGATCGGTTCAAATTTTTGAACGGCGGAGAGCTCGTATTTCAACTCGGCCGAACCTTTGACTGCTCCACCTCCTCACGCGCCGCCGTCTACGGCGAACAAGGTTGACACCGGCGGACTCGCAACGACACAAGGAACACGATGGTGCAGGAGGTGTCGTAAACGGAACAACGATCGGCGGTGAATTTAAGTTTTTCCCGACGATAGAGCTAAAAAAACGACGATGCTTTGACTGAAAATTCCCGACGTTTGGCAGCGTTTCACTTCAATTAATTTGAAGGGTTTGTTCCTCGCTTGATGATGAACACAACGGTGGTTTCAATTTTACGATTGGACGACGAACGGCGTCGGAATCGGCTTTGAAGTAGAGTGCGGGAGGAGGAATTTCACAATTGTTTTCTGTTTTGAAAACAGAAAACCATTCATACGTTTATATTAAATTTTCTGCCGACACTAAAAGGAGTAATGCAGGGCTTGGTCCCTGAATTTCCTTTAACTTCTAAAATGGCCTACAATTTTGAAAACTTCCGATTTAATCCTCAAATTTTGCCAAATTACTTAATTAATTTTTTTTTCTCTAAATTTTATTCCGGGTTGTTACAATTCTCCCCCTCTACAAGAAATTTCGTCCTCGAAATTTACCTTATGAGAATAGTTGAGGAAACTGAGCCTCCATTGACTCCAATGTCTCCCAAGTAGCTTCTGAGGGGCCTCGATTACTCCACTGAACTTTGACCATTGGAATTCGCCTATTCCGAAGAACTCTTTCATCTCTTTCTAAAATCTGAATGGGCTCCTCCTCATATGACAAATCCGGTCTCAGCTCTACTTCTTCAACCTGAATAATGTGACATGGATCTGGACGGTATCGCCTTAACATAGACACATGAAAAACATCATGAATACGACTGAGGTGGGAAGGCAACTCAAGCTGATAAGCAACAGGTCCAACTTTCTTCAGAATACGATACGGCCCAATAAATCGTGGACTCAATTTACCCTTACGCCCGAATCTCAATACTTTCTTCCACGGTGAAACTTTTAAGAAGACCTGATCACCAACCTCAAATTGTATATCTTTCCTTCTCTGATCTGCATAAGACTTCTGCCTATCAAATGCCTCTTTCAAACGGTCACGTATAAATCTGACTGTGTCCTCCGTCTCTCGCACTAACTCAGGTCCCAACGTTTTCCTATCACGCAACTCAGTCCAACAGATCGGAGTGCGACATTTACGCCCATAGAGTGCTTCATAGGGTGCCATACGAATGCTGGTCTGATAACTGTTATTGTAAGCAAATTCAGCCAAAGGCAAAAATTTCTCCCAGCTACCATGAAAATCGATTACGGAACCCCGCAACATATCCTCAAGTATCTGAATCACTCTCTCAGATTGACCATCAGTTTGTGGGTGAAATGATGTGCTATAATCCAATCTTGTTCCCAAAGCCGTATGTAGCGCCTTCCAAAATCTCGAAGTAAATCTCGGATCTCGATCAGAAATAATAGACAATGGAACACCATGCAATCTAACAATCTCTGAAATATACAATCTTGCCAGCTTGTCCAAAGTATAATTTACTCGCACAGGAATGAAGTGAGCTGACTTTGTAAGTCTGTCAACAATCACCCAAACTGAATTTTTTTTTCGAAGGAGTCATAGGCAAGCTAGTAACAAAATCCATAGTAATACGCTCCCATTTCCATTCAGGAATCTTAATAGGCTGTAACAAACCTGATGGATGTTGATGTTCTGCCTTAACTTGTTGACAAGTCAAACACCTCGCTACAAAATTTGAGATGTCCTTCTTCATGCCGATCCAATGATACCTCTATCTCAAATTCCGATACATCTTATCTCCACCAGGGTGCATAGCATATGGACTACTATGAGCCTCAGTAAGGATAGTCTGTCTCAACTCAGCATCATCAGGCACACAATACCGACCTTTGAAGCATAGAACTTCATCCCGGTCAAGGGCGTAATCTGAGCTTGTCCCCTGCTCTACTTGCTCAAAGATGGGAAGCAAGGAGCTATCAAAGGGCTGCTTAGCCTTGATCTCATCAACCAATGTTGGCTTAACTTGCAATTCTGCTAACAAAGTGCCATCATCATATAAATTCATCCTGGCCATTAAAGATTTCAACTCCGATACCGTCTTTCGACTCAAAGCATCCGCTACAATGTTAGCTTTACCAGGGTGATAATCAATCACACAATCATAATCCTTCAGAAGCTCTAGCCATCGCCGTTGTCTCAAATTAAGCTCCTTCTGGGTCAGGAGATACTTTAAGCTCTTATGATCCGTGAAAATATAACACTTCTCTCCATAAAGATAGTGTCTCCAAATCTTCAAGGCAAAAATCACTGCTCCTAACTCCAAATCGTGAGTAGGATAATTACACTCATGAGGTCGCAGCTGACGGGATGCATAAGCCACCACTTTACCTTCCTGCATTAAAACACAGCCAAGTCCTGAGTGTGAAGCATCACTATACACTGTAAAATCCTTCCCGGACTCTGGTTGAATCAACACCGGTGCTTGAGTCAAAACCGCCTTTAATTTCTCAAAGCTCTCCTGTTGTGCCTCGCCCCAGTCAAACGGCACATTCTTCCTTAACAACTTTGTCAAAGGAGAAGCAATGATCGAGAAGCCCTCAACAAAACGTCGATAATAACCAGCCAAGCCCAAGAAACTGCGGATCTCAGATACGTTCTTAGGTCGTTTCCAATTCATAATAGCCTCTATCTTGCTGGGATCGACCTGAACACCTCGCGCAGAAATAATATGCCCCAGAAACGACACTTCTTGAAGCCAAAATTCACACTTGCTTAGTTTGGCATATAGACGATGCTCTCTCAAAGTCCGCAGAACGATCTTCAAATGCTCGTCATGCTCTGCCTCAGTACGAGAATAGATCAGAATATCGTCAATGAAGACCACCACAAATTGATCCAAATATGGTCGGAACACCCGATTCATCAAATCCATGAAAGCTGCAGGAGCGTTCGTCAAACCAAAAGGCATCACTGAGAATTCATAATGACCATATCTAGTGCGAATAGTCGTTTTTGCAATATCTGATCCTTTAACTTTCAATTGATAATACCCCGAACGAAGATCAATCTTAGAGAATACAATAGCTCATCGCAATTGATCAAATAAATCATCAATCATGGGTAGTGGGTATTTA